GATATGGAGAACCAGAACTCTTGCCCATTTCTCGTGAGAAGATGTAACAGTGCAGCTACTATGGAAATAGTGTGGTGGTTCATATGAAAGATCAAAATAGAATTGCCATATGATACAGTGCTTCTACTTCTATATATAAACCCAAAAGAACTGAAAAGTAAGAACTTAAGTGGATATTCTACAGTCGTATTCATAGCAGTAGTATTTGCAATAGCCAAAAAAAGAAAGCAACCAGAACATTCATCAGTAGATAAATAGACAAACAAAATTATATATATGAATATTATTCAGCCTTAAAAAGGAAGGAAATTCTAGAACATAGTATAACAATAATGAACTTTGAGGGCATTGTGCCAAATGAAATAAACCAGTCACAAAAACACAAATACTATGACTCTACTTAGATGATGTACTTAGAGTAATCAAATTCACAGAGAAGAAAAACAAAGGTGGTCAACATGGGCTAGGGAAGGATAAGCAATAAAGAGTTATTGTTTCATTGGTGCAGAATAGCAGTTTTGGAAGGTGAAAAATGTTCTGGAAATAGATAGTGGTGGTGGTTTCATAACAATAGGAATGTGCTTAATGCCACCAAGCCATATTCTTAAAATGGTTAAGATGCTAAGTTTTAGGCTTTGTAAATCTTACCACAATAAAAAAGGTAAAAATATATGCACATTAGTGGTTGCTATTCCTAACATGTCCTTGTTAGCATGGATTCATCATCTTGTCAAATATCCAAGCCTCAAATGAAGAGTGCCAAAGTAAATCAGGTACCCTAAATTAGGCCAAGTTATAGCACTGGAAGGAAATTTATCTTTTTGCTGTCCTTTTCTATTCTTTTTGGGGTGCATCTTGGTGCTTTCTGCATAAGCAGTAGATTTCGTGGCTCTACCATACTAATACGTAGAGAAGAGTACATGTGCTTGAAGGGGATTAGAATATAAATGAAGCATATTGAGGATACACTCTTAAGTGAAATAAATAAGTCACACATGTGTAAATACCTAATAGTTTCTCCGGTGCAAAAAACTATAATGGTGCATAAGATCCTAATGAGATAATTGACAATGTGAAATAGGAAGAAAAGGGCAAAAGGTGTAGGGAAAGTGGGAAGGGTGGGGGAAAGGTAATGAGGGAAAAGAAAACAATATGAGAAAATGAAAAAATGGAAATAAAGTTTTTGTAAATAGGAAGGAGAGGAGGGGGTAAAGGGAGGGCAGGGATAAGGGGAAACATGAGAACCAAAACCTGTCATGAAAAGGTACAAGATCCCAATGATGAATGCAACTGCACCGTATACCTAAAATGTACCAATGAGAAAAAAAAAAAAAGAATCTAAGTGAAGAAAATGAAATCAAAACTTCATGTCCTAGCCAGGCAAATTTTGCAGACTGAATAAAACTAATACAATTTAGTCAGTCTTTTGAAAAAATGTATGTTGATGGCAACTCCAATACATACCGAGGAATCTGTAAAGCCTTGTAGCTATCCTTTATACCAAGGTCAGAGAGGCCTGTACTCTATCCAATTATTACTCTATCCAATTATTATTCAATTATTACTTCAATTTCCTTATTTATACAGTGGGGAGAATAGTAGTAAATACCTCTTAGGGGAGGCTGTGACACACAATAAGCCCTATGTGAGTCTTAAAATGAATATATATATATATCTATTTCTTTAATGGAAATGAATATTGGTCAGGTATTTTGTCTTACACTTGTTTCATATCCATTAACTATTCTCATTCTTAAAAGAATGGAAAACAGCCCCAGAAATGCTAAAAAAGAAATTGTCATTCAGTTCATCTGAAGCAATTTGATTGCAGCCTCCTGAGTCTTACTTACTTTTACCTCTAAAGCAGCTATAATGTGGTCTTATTCTTATCACAGGTGTCATCAGATAAATTTAATTTCCTGGTATAATATGTAGGCTTTAAAAATCCAATAATTTTCATATAAGTAGCTTAATCAATAAAGACAAAATATAAACTTCTGGCATTTTTTGATTGGCACCTTCCCCTATAGCATTGTACACATACACAGACCCACACCTCTTATCAGTAAAATTCTAGTTTTTCTGGGAAAATCACATTCCAGCTCATCAATTTTTAAAATGGATTTATTCCTTTATTTTTCTTTCTGTTGCCATGTAGATTTCCAGGATTTTTTAAGTGAAGACAACAAAAAGATGAAGAGAGGCTGGCATACATTTTGACATTTAAAGATCCATATTTAAATCTAAACTTTGTCATTCAGCTTTGAGATATTAGTGAATTGCCTAGCCTTCCCCAGTCATGATTTTTGCCTTATTTAAAATATGAATGACAATACTACTTCATAACTTGGTAAATGAAAGAACCCATGGAAAAGTATCCAACACAGATTAGACAGCTTATTGACACATATAATATATGTACATAATATATTAGTATATATTCTTATATAAGAATATATAATTAATAAGTAATCTATAATCACCATAAGATATTTGTGGAAAATAAACAGTAAAATTAATAAATTTTAATAAATTAATAAATTTATGTAAAACACATAAGTTTTCATGTAAAATAATCACAAGGAAATAAAAATAAGCCTTAAAATGAACAATAGGAAGCATTTTGATTAAATCAGGGTGGATTACAATTATGACTGTAAAGAAAAATAATCACAGATGGTTCAATCAATGCTTTTTGACGTCAATTCTGAAGCTACACCAATCGGTTTGCAGGTTGGGCAACTGTTTTGTGGGAAGAGCTTGACTCTATGTACACTTCAGATAAAATCATTTAATATTTTAAAAAGAAAAGCTATGTGGTGTGTGTGTGTGTGTGTGTGTGTGTGTGTGTGTGTGTGCAAGCACATGAGTTTGGGTACACGATATAAATGAATCATCAAAGAGAGGGTCTTTTATAATCTGGAAAATAAGAGGAACCCCATAGATGATCTCTCACTCACCTCATTTTATATCTAAAGTAACCCAAAATGTCACAGCCACATCTAAGTCACACCAGTCACTAGACAGTCACAAAAAACCAGATTGTCATCATTTCCCCTTCCATCATTCAACGGACTGCTTTTATTGTCCTTGCAAGTCACAACAGGTTGTTGGTCTGTGGCCCTGAGCTGTGATTCTGTGGGGAACGATTTTGCATTCCCATCCCCCCACACACTCCAGCTGGAAAGAAGGGAGTTGTAAACTTTGACTTCTGCAGTTGAATGAGGCATTGTTTGATGGAAGTGTGTGGGCGGGGAGGCTACAAACAGCCAACTGCCAATTCTTGAAGCAAACATGCTCTCTTTATCCCTGAATGTAGTTTTTGACGTAATGAGCATGGCTTCTAATTTTCCTTGCAAATGGGCACACTGGTGACCATGGAAACTGGCATGCTCAAAAGATGCCCTGTCAGGGCCTTTGAAAGGCTGACAGACATTTGTATTAGGTAGGTAGAGCCATGCCACCTAGGGCTGAACAAACACACCCAACTGGATGGTGCTTCCCAAAATCACACAAACATTTGTATTTCATTAGACAGAAATTAATAAGACCCCAATAGGAAGAAGTAAAAGGGACTGTTTTTTTAGGGGATGTGTGTATATACAGCTGGGCTATGAAGTAATACAGAGAATGCTCTTATGAATAATGATTGCACATGTGCATGCAATTTATTTCACTTCTTACACTGTCTTTTAGTCCCTTCCCCCAGTCACTCTCTTTCTATAGATTTTTCAGAAATCAATCACAGATCTGCAGCTGACCAGGACAGGATCTTGTCTACTCCTTTCACATGGCAGGACTCCAGTAGCACTTGTATATTTAAAGGCCTTCCTGGGTCATTAGTAAGTTATACTTTTGAAAAATATACATGTTCTCTTCCTTGATGATGGAGGACATGCGTCTAGCGGTCTGACACTAATTGGAGGGAAATAAAAATTGTAAAAGTCTGTGTCTAGAAATAATTAAATTCTAATATTTTAAAATAGTTCAAATATGGGTTTTAGTGGAAAGGTTGACAAGAGATGCAAGGTGTCCTCTTCGTATAGTCCTACCTCAGAACAACACTCCTACCTTTTATTTATTTATTTATTTTGCATTACTGGGGGTTGAACCCAGGACTTTCACACTGAGCTACATTACCAGCTCTTTTCTATTTTGACATAGGATCTCCCTAAATTGCCCCAAATCTAAAACTCTGTACCTTCTTACCTCAACCTCTCATGCCCATCTTTAGTCCCACCTTTTTGAGATATTGATTGCTTCCCCATTCTACAACAGAAGCCCGCTGGAGAAGAAGACTGGTCCATGTTTTTAGAGTGGAAAGGAAGAAAGCAGGAGGAAGGAAGTGAAGGCAAAAAGAGAAGAGAAAAAGAAGAGCTAATTAGACAAAAGAGACGAGATACTGAAATATTTCTCAATATGCTGATTGTATAAGCTTCATGAGGCAGTGACCTCTTTCATTTATTCGGACAGGTTGACTTACACACTTTTATTAAAAGAATAGCAACCTGAAATGGGAGCAAAAAACAAACAAACAAACAAAAAACCCAAACAGCTGGACTTTTATCCCAGTACCCAGATTTAAACAAGCCATTCTTCAGTCATAAAACCCTTCAACATACAGTTAATCTTCCATGGCCATAAAGCTTGACTTATTCTTTCCTAAGTTGTCTTCATTAGTAGATATCCCAAATGAACACAGCTTCTGAGATAATACTTTTTCATTTCTGCTAGGGGCATTTTAGAGTTTTCTCACCTGCCAAACTCCCCAAAACTTGACTTTGTAAATTCCAGAGCTCTCACCCGTAGGCCAAGTCTATTTATTTGCCTTTCTTGTTACAGCCAGTAATTTCTTTTTGCTTCTAAACCTCCAGTTTTCAGGCTGAGCTTGATCACAGGCTGCGTGGGTGAGTAGGGGGAAGAAAATAAAAATATTTCTCTTTATAAATGCAATTATGAAATAAGAATTGATCGTGCCTTCTGCATATGTATATCTCCAGTTCCGTGACTAAGCCATGGAAAGTCTGAAAACATGCAGGGGATCCTGAGTGTCTTCCACAGCTGACCAGCTGCTGCGAAGGAACATCTGGAGAGAGAAACACTCTCACCCAGACAGCGAGTCACCCCTAAAAATGTCAACTACATTACATCTTCAAGAGATTCTAGACCTTGCCTCCAAATATGGTAAGTCTAAAATACTTTATATTGAAGTCAGTGCCTAGATAGTTTCCTTCATGAACAAGGTGTGCTTTTAAAGGGGAGGACAAGCAATGAATTTAGGAGGGAAAGAGCTAGTTTTTAAATTTTGTGATTTTTGAAGCCCTTTTTTAACAGTGCTGGAGAAAAGTGAAAAAAAAATATTCTAAAGTTTGCCTTTAGGACTGTGATGGACACTGATTAAATCTTTAAACTTTATAAGACTCAGTTAACTAAGATTTCTGTTGTCTCTGTCTCATTCTTGTATTAATTACATTAAAAAAACTGCCCCAAAGTCAGTAGTTTAAAAAAATATATTGATTATGTCATCGTTTCTTCATACTAGGAATAACAGTAGCTTCAAGCCCACTAATTCGGTTTTTGTTAGGCCTCAATTGTTCACGAGCATTTGAGCATAAGGCCTCTGTTTCCTACTGGCTACAGCTTCCCCTGATTCCTTGTCATATGGACCTTACAGGTCTGCCTATCTAAAGGCTGGTTTCTGACAGAGAGAGAGAGAGAGAGAGAGAGAGAGAGAGAGAGATCAAGTCAAAGCCATACAATAACCTCGGAAGCCACACTCTGTTAGTTCTTTTTTTACCATTCTCTGGAAGTGAGTCACTGAATTCAACCTCTCCTTTCAGAGGATGTAAAGATAGAAGCTTCGCCTTCATAGCATGTTGTAAGAATTAAATGAATTAAGACCCAGAAGTTGGATAGTGTAGAGAACAGTGTTTCCTTCTTTAACTCCTGTGTTCCTTCTTTCTGAAAAGTGATATAGTTCTACCAGAAGCTCAGTTCTTCTGAAAGCTGATCCCAGAAAGGAAAATACACTGGTCTAAATGTTCATCTTCACCCTTCATTACCAGGAGTGATTACCTATCAACCAGAAAAATCTCCAGATGACCCCAGAGCCTAGACGATTCAGAAGCATCTGAACTGCTAAAGAGAAAAACACAGAGTCAAAATAAGTGAATAAAGTGTCTTCAACTATTCAACATCTGTAAACCCCTCATTTTAGTAATTTCTGACACACATTTAATCCCTCAGCATTTGATCACTGAAGATCCAACAAACCAACACAATGGAATGTCTTGAAGGTAGAAAGACCACAATGTACTACTCTCATTTAGATTATGGAGGGTATCTTGATCCAATCCATTGAATCCTCAGGACATCAGATATCTGTCAAAATGAAGATACAATAATTCTTCAAAAATTAGTCTACTCATTAACAATACTGAAGAATTAGGCATATTAAAGGAGTCTTGCTGTATCTCATAATGAAGTTAGTTTTGTGCTGCAGAAGAGTGTTTCACTCAAAACAGAATCACTAACTATGGGGGATTATTAGAAACTGAAACTAGCATTTATTTCAATGATTTGAATAGCACTACCTCCTTCATGTTAACGAAATGCTTCCACACAGAGGACTTTGGAAAGAGAATCATTAAGATATAAAGAGACGGATGGAGAGGAGATGGAGGAAGACAAGGGAAGAGAGCGAGATCAGAAGAGAGTAGAGAAATTTGTTTTTTGACACTGCACCTCCAACTTTATCCTCTTCTGGCAATAATTAAGTACCAGGAGAGAGAAAGAAGAAAAATACAGGAAGGCAAAGAAGAGGACTAGAAGAAATATGAAGGAGGAATAAAGAAATGTAGGAGACCCTAAGAAAAATATACTTATAAATTTGATGTTAGACTCAAAATTAAGCTCAGTATAAAAAAAAATATCAAACCCTTCATAGGTGCCAGGCACTGTGTTGGGAGCTAGAACTATGATGATAAAGGACACATGGCTACTGCTACCAGTCACTCACACACAAATAAATAAAGGTTGAAAAGAAATAACATGAAATCCAAGAAAACTTGCATTGCAATGATGATTAGAAGGCTCAGAAGTGGTCAAGTGCATTTCTCTCAGCACCTTTGGTGATGAATTCCCATGTCAAATTATGTGTTGTCTACTTGACATTAGCTTTTGGACTTTTTCAAAATATTTCTGAAATTTGTTACTTAGTAAGAGATTAGGGGAGGGGAGATAAGAATCTTTGTGATTTGCATCTCAGCATGTTTCATTCCCCGTCCAAATAAATGTTGTCTGGCTAAAGCAGCACAGCATAAAACATGACTACTGGATTTGTCATAAAATGTATAATTAACCTATGTTGATTGAATCATATAGAAGGAACAAGGCTGACTTACAGTGGATGCTGTTTACAGAATAAGCATGTCAGTCTAAATTATTTATTCTGCTTCAAGTTCATCATGTTCAGCACAGCTATAAGGGGTGCACTCTACCCTCAGCTCAGTATCCCCTTGACCAGCCTGCGGCCCTGAAGACACATGATGGCTCTTAATGAGCTGCAAACATAGAACTCCCAAGATGAAATCAGGACTCAGCTGCTCTATATGTATCAACTTTAGATTCAGAATGAGAGTAAAGGGTATACTTTTTTTTTTTCCTCATTGAGTTTGTTGGTACATTTTAGGTACACAGTGAAGTTACATTCATCACTGGAATCTTGTACCTTTACATGACAGGTCTTGATTCTCATTTTTCCCCTAACCCCTGCCCTCCCTTCACCCCCTCCTCCCTTCCCTATTTACAAAAAACTTTATTTGCATTTTTTCATTTTCTCATATACATTTTATAATAGATATTGTATGTGACAATTTATAGACTTTCTCCCTTATTTTTCTTCCTTCCCCTTCTATTTCTCTTCATTCTATACCACTTCTCAAACTTTGGGAATCTCTTTCTTTCCCTGGTAATCACTCCTTTCTCCTTCCCTTGTTCAGCATCTTTGCTTTATGCTGCTGACGGACTTGGAAATTTCTATGCTTTCTAGGCCTAGGGCAGTAGTTGTACAAACTTTTCATGAGAAATCCATGAAAAACTTGTTTAAAACTCAGCCAGGTAGGCCCTACCACTTATGATTCTATTTCAGTGTTTCAAAATATAGTCTAAGAATCAACATAATTAACATGCCTCTCCTCTGTAGGTGATCTTGATACAAGTGATATATAGGAAAAAATTGGCAAACATTGTCCAAACACAATGAATATCAATGGTATGAACAATTCAGAAGAGACTTGAAATTCAGCTTTGACACTGGGGTATCCTGCTTTCTTCCTCTCTCTCTGACCCCTCTTCACTGGCTCCACTTCCTTTGCTCGCCATTTAGATAGTGATGTGTCCCAAGGTTCTCTTCTTATTCCATTTCTCTTGTTCTATATGCTCATGTGGATTGCTATCATCCAATCAGGTGAGTGGAGATGATATCTATACACTGGAGACTAAAATGTTTATTTCTAGACCCAAATCACAATGAAGCTCCAGACAAACATGTATTTCCACCTGGATGTCCCACATGCACCTCAAACTTAACATGCTCTAAACTTCACCCAGAGGATATGGTTCTAGATAAGATAAAGAAGCACAGTCCATACTGTCTGACTTGCTCAATGAAGCTCTTATATCTACACCAGCTACTGGGAGACTCTGATTAGCAAATAGGTTTGGGAAAAAACAAGTTCAAAGGACCACTGAATGGGTGGTGAGTTTCTCTGATTTTTTCCAGTGTCACACACTCAAGCTCTGGTTTGAGCATGGAACAGGGACTCCTGGGAGCCCAGACTCTGTGGTCTTTTCTTCTGGCCCAAACCCAGATAGTCCCTCAGAGTGATGACAGGAAGAATGGGGCAGTAACTCCCAGGGGCTTCCTCATTCTATGATTTGCGTTTATTTCCCTAGTGTTATATTTTGAAGGACAGATGTTAATTTTGGCCAAGACCAATATGTCTTTTATTTAAATATTCACTTTTTCTTCTTGTAGGGCAGAATTCCCATCGGGTGTCATTTTTCTTCGATCTAAAGAATTTCATCCTGAAGCACCTGGTAGTGTGTCCACTTGGAACAAATCCTACCATCTTTTGTTTGCATAAAGTCCTCTTTTTACTTGTATTTTATATGTGCATACACATATATGCATAGATATAGACAGATAGATGATAGATAAAATTTCAAATTGGTGCTTTTTTTTTTTTTTTTCCTATCATGTCTTTAAAGGCACTGTGTCAGGCCTTCCAGTCTCATGTTTTTTGGTTTTTTTTTTTTTTGGTTTTTTGGTTTTGGTTTTTTTTTTTTTTTTTGAGAAGTTATCCATCACTCTTCTTACATATTACTTTTTACTTCTTACATACTTCTTTTCTTTTAATGTTTCTAAGATTTTCTCTTGCTCTGGTTTTCAGCAGTTATGATGTGGGTAGGTTTACTTTAATTTGCCCTTGAGGTAAAAATTTTCTGCTTTGGATTTGCTAAATGTCATGAATATATAAATTCCTGTTTTGTATCAAATTTAGAAAATTGTTAGTGAGTATGATCACATTTTTCCCTGCCCTATTTTCTTCTCTCTTCTCATTCTTATATATATGTTAAGCTTCTTAAGGCAATCTCACATCTCAATAAGAATGTTCATTTTAAAAGTTTTTTCACCCCGTCCTTCATTTGAGATCATTCTTATTATCTTGTCTTTGTGGTCATTGCACCTTTCTTTCTTTCTTTCTTTTTCTTTTTTTTGTTGTTCTTTTATTGAGTTTATTGGTACAATTTAGGTATGCAGTACAGTTACATTCATTATTGGGATCTGTACCTTTACATGACAGGTCTTGGTTCTCATTTTTTTCCCCTTGTCCCTGCCCTCCCTTCACCCCCTCCTCCCCTCCCCATTTACAAACATTTTATTTCCATTTTCTCATTTTCTCATATTTTTTTCTTTTCCCTTATTACTCCTTTCTATGTCATGGAAAACAAATTTTTTCATATAACAAAAAATAAGACTTTATTTTCTAGGATTTTGTTTTATTTGTTTCACAGTTTGCATCATTTGTCAACTCTCTTTTTACCCAGTATATCCATGTTTTCCTGTCAATTTCAACATCTGGTTTGTTTTCTTTTGTCACATTTTCCTGTATTTTTGCACATTTAATAAATATTGTATAATAGATAATGTGGGTGACAATTTATGGAGAATCTGAATTCTATTATCTTCCTCTGGAAAATATTGACTTTTGTTTTAGAAGGAAGTTCAGTTATTAGCAGACGACCTCAGCTTTTGAAGACTTGGTTTTGGGGCTTTGTTAGATTGGTTCTACTTCTTCTTTGCAACCAGAATAGAATGAATACCTTAGTTCTGAGTCATAAGACATAGCTTTTGGATTTTAATTTTAAAAGCTTGTCATCTTGGCAAGACTTGAATTCCAAATTCTACATAACCATGAGAGGCAGCTGTTGAAGTCTCTACTCAGCAATTCCAGATTTTCAGGGTTTTATTTTCCCCCTTGAGCTTTGCTATGGTTTGCATGTGATTGATCCCCACCAACTGTTATTGAGGCTTAGTCTTCAGGGCAGCAGTGTTGGGAGGTAGGGCAAAATGGATCATGGGAGGGTCATGGATATTTGTGTCATGGGAGGCATTTAAATCATGGGGATGGAGCCCTCGTGAATGAATAAATGTTTTTGTCCCCCCGCCCCTTGGGAATGAGTTAGCTATCATGGTAGTTCTCTCTTTGTACATACCCATTCCCCCTCCTGCTTTTCTGCCATGCATGGAAGGGCAGGAGGCTGTTACCAATAGCCAAGCAGATGCAGCTGCCATAGTCTTGGACTTTTTAGGCTGCAAAACTGTGAGTCTCTTTTCCTTAAAAATCTCCCACTTCAGGTATCATGTTTGTTGTAGTTTGTGTTTAGATGTTCCCCCAAAATCTCATGTGGTCATAGGCGGGGGCTTTTTTCAGAGGTGACTGGATCTAGGGTGACAACGGGATGGATTCATGGTGCAATGCTAGGCTCAAGAGTACTAGGATTGAGGAGGTGAGTGCTACCCACCCTAAATAGCCTAGATAAGATAAAAGGGGCAGAAAGATGCTGTTAAGGTCTCTTGCTTGCTTT